GTAGATATTGTGTGATTCTAACTAATTTTTGTTTAGTAACGATTTTAATTTAGGGTCGGGTTTTTGTGAGAATTTGACGTTGACAGGAATATTATGCTTAATGGCTAGTTTTGTCCAAGTGTGGATAATTCTTGAGCTGCTTTCAGAAACAAAAGGTAAACTGCAGTGTAATGTACTGTTGTTGGGTTTGTTAGTGTCAATTTTGTTCGAGAGTTGAGTTTTGTTGTGGTGAATGTTGGAGAGTTTTTCAACAATAGCTGGTGGGAATCTATTGGTGTGAATAAAGGAATGCTTTATGTGGTTAATTTCTTCATTTATGTAATCCATTGAACAGAGTCTTGTAGCTGTATTTATGAGGTTTTTTAAATGTATTGATTTTTTGTGTGGTGTCATGAGCGGAATTCCAGGGGATATAGAGGCCAGTGTGTGTGTTCTTGCGGTGAATTTTGGTTGTAAACTGTGTGTCCGATCTAATAATTTGGAGGTTAAGCAAAGATAACTGTTTATTGTTTTCGTGTTCTATGGTAAATTTGATGTTGGGATGAATGGAATTTATGTATTTAAGCCATACATTCTGCGCTTCATCCCCCACTATACTGGTACAGATATGTCATTGACACTTTTGCTGGTTTCACTTCTACAGAAGACACACTAACTTCCTTTAAACTGTTCTTTTGGACTATAATGTGAAGGTCTTTTCATAATGATATTTAAGACGAAATTAATTCTGTTTTATTACAGCTATCCACGACTTTCTTTGACTACCATTCTCCTTCTTCAATTGCCTTTATATCTACAAAACCTCATTTGCATTAGATCTACGTAACATCAACACCTAGTGCAAAATAATAATTGATGTTACTTTTAATTATAGAAATGGGAGATACTAGATACTAGAGTTGGCCTGAAAATTACAGCCCAGTTATTTTTACTTGGATCTTATTGAAAATCCTTTATAAAATCATCTAACGAAATATAATATTGTTATAACTTAGAACCTTCTTGGCATAGTTATGTCACATTAAGACTCAAAGCTCCTTCTAGCTGACAAACAAAGTATATCATTCAAAATATAGCTTACAATACTACTTCTAACTGTATTATGAACTCTATTGAAAAATTCTAATACAAAAAATAAGAACACCGAATTGTCTACTTGTCAAGTCTTCCTAGCGGTTTATCTTCCAAGGTCCATGGTAGACAGACTGGATGATATATCATCCCTTATTTTAACTAGCTATGCTGTTGCTGGGTTAATTCTTCTTGGGGTAAATGATTGGGCTCCTCAGTAGGTTGAACTTTTCTTTGAAGTTTCCCAGTTAGCTGTTTTCCTACTAACTATACTTTGTCAGAATTTAAAAATATGGATTCTTCTTTTTTTGCCAATTGTCAAAATAAAAGGTTTTTTGTTACATTTCTTAATAGTATCAATATATTCTATTGTTACGACAGCGGAAGTCACGCGACGCTGGAGTTTCTCGAAGTATCATGAATTATCGGGGAAGCCCGAGTTTGTTCAGGACGCCCTCCTTTTTAGTATATAAGCCTGGCAAGAAAAACCACTGTGGTTGAAGAGATAGATAATTGAGTCAAGCGAACAGTAGGCACAGTAAGTAAAGTGTGTGAATCGCTGTGATTTATAGCGTGGGTTATAAAAGTTGTTAACTCTAAAGTGACTGTGGAAATTCTGTGTATTACTAAAATTTGTACCGAGAAAGAATAAACTAGTTTTAATCAAGAAAGGACTTGTATTGCTGAAGTTTCTTGGAAAGAATTTCTAAGGAAAACTGGCAAACAAGCAGATACGTAACAAATTGGTGTCAGAAGTGGGATGGAAAAAAAGAAAAAAAGAAAGACGGAAACGAGAAGTGACAAATCAAACTACGACTTAGCAGATTTGATGGTAGCAATACAAGAACAGCAAAAGAAACAAGAAGAACGAGAAAAGAAACAAGAAGATAGATTACAGCAGTTATTGGAAGAAAAAGAAAAGAAACAAGAAGAGAGATTACAGCAGTTGTTGGAGCAAAATGTAAAGAAACAAGAAGAGAGACAACAGCAGTTGTTGGAGGAAAAAGAAAAGAAACAAGAAGAGAGATTACAGCAGTTGTTGGAGCAAAATGTAAAGAAACAAGAAGAGAGACAACAGCAGTGGCAAGAAAACCTGCAAGAGTGGCAGCTCGAACAGCAAAATAAACAATAGAGATTACAGTAGTTGTTGGAGGAGAAAGAAAATGAAAATGTTTGGTATTCAGCACTTCCAGTATTGGAAAGTCTAAACTTTATACCGTATAGTAAATTATTCCCAAAAATTTTTTACCAACCATTTACCTGTGCTGTATTCCATATACGAGACCATTTGATATCTTTTACACATACTTTTCACTTACAATTATATTCACTGTGCAGACAAAATTTCTCCACAGTGTGTTACCTCTCGTTTTTAAGATCCTAATTTAATCCAAACATTTTGTTAGGCACTAAACAGTTTTTTTTTTCAATGAGGATAAAACTGCATATCCAAACTTGCATGCTTTTCATCTTAGTGCACAATTGGAACGATAACTTTGTAATCATTAGATTTTCTTCAATTGTTCTTCACAATTTATTCTATTTAATAATGTTAGATGGGCTTTATTTTTTATATAATTGATCTTAATCTGTATTCAGTAAATGCCAATTTTACTAGTTTAAAGAATTCCCTGATTTTATTCACCAATACAGCGTCTACCCTATATTGTCTTACATATTTTAATCTATAGTTAGCTTTTGAAATTATGAAGCAATTTTTGATACAACTTTACAAACTTGTTTTTCATCACCCAAGGTCATATGCAAAATGTGGCCAAGATCACTCCAGTAGTGATACCACTCCTAATCCCTTCGCTGGCAGGGGTGATAAAATTAAATGTACAGTGTAAATGGAGTTAAAAATTAAAGCATGTATACACATTATAAAGATGTGAAAATATAAAACTTATTGTTTGTATGTTTAGTTTCTGAATTTTACGCAAGGCTACACGAGGGCTCTCTGCACTAGCCATCCCTAATTTAGCAGTGAAAGACTGGAAGGAAGGCAGCTAGTCATCACCACCCACTGCTAACTCTTCGCTACTCTTTAAACAAAAAATAGTGGAATTGATCGTCGCATTATAATGCTCCCATGGCTGAAAGGGCAAACATGTTTAGTGGAATGGGAATTCGAACCCGTGACCCTCAGATTGCAAGTCAAGCACCCTAACCACCTGACCATGCCCGACCTTAAAAAACGTATCCATTCTTTACCTCCCCTCTTACATACACAACATAGTTTATTTTTTTAACTGTTCTAAAAATAAAAACATATCCTTTTGTCACTTTCTTTTCAAGAACTTATATAAAAAATATTAAATATCAATTATATTCAAAATAGTTTATTTCTATTTCAGTTTAGATTCCTTACTAATTTACCTCTATTAAATAACAGGAAAAAATAAATAAAGCTTGTATAATTACAAAAACATTTACAATAACCTGAAAACTGAGCCAGTTAACCATGTTTTGTCATTTCAGGAACATGACAATCAAGCTGTGGTTGTATGGTGTACAGAGCATTTTTCGTTACTCAGCCATTTTTGGTATATACGTGTAGTATAAGTGCATATATTATAGTCCTTTATTTTTCTTTCTTCACGTGAATTTTGAATTTGCCTGGCATACTTCTTTAATAAAATATATGTTTTGTCATGGAACAAAGAATTATCAGTCATCAAAGCATTTTCCATACCTTAGTCATTTTGAATATATGCGTGTAGTACAACTACATATATCTTCGTATGTTAAAGGCCCTTATTTTTGTTGCTCCATGACATTTTTATTTTCATTGGATTTGTCTGACTTTCTTCAGTAGTATGCAAGTTCTGTTCCGGAGCAAAGAAAGTATTAGAATTACCAGAGTTCCCTGTCTCGGTCGTTTTGGGTATATGTACACAGTGTCACTTCATTTATCTTTGCATATTATGGTCCTTATTTTCTTTGTTCTATGGTTATTGTGATGTCAATGAATTTGCCTGATTCTCTTCTTTAATAATATATATATATATTTTCACATAAATAATTTTTCAGAGCCCTATAAGCGTTTTCCATACCCCAGTCCCCATTGGATATGTGTGGTGCTACATGCTAATTTTTGTTTTGAATCCATCTGGTTTTATTCTTTAACAATAAATAATTTTTGTGTGTATAGCAAAGAAATTTTGAGTCAGCAAATTGCTTTCCGTACCTCAATTGTGTGTGTGTATGTACACATATTGAAGGCTTTTATTTTTAATGCTTCATACACATTTTTATGTAGTTTATTTAAATGTTAACATTTTCCTAAACTAAAAATGTATTTCCCATAGATACTTACCTCCCCTCACAAAATAACATTTCTTGACTAGTACTGCCCTCTATCGGTGTAATTTTTCAACATTTGCCGCTAGCCTTTCACCTCCCGTTTCTACATATCTACATGTAAATGATTTGCAACAGCTTCCATCAATAGGAGTGTGGCACAAACCCTATTATAACCAGCCCCTTTCCACAATTGCTCTCATTAATCACTTCGAGATTGGTCATAGGATCTACACCACATATCACCAGAAAGTGGGAAATGTGAGAGGAGGTAAGTATCTATCGGAAAGACATTTTCAGTTTAGGAAAATTTTAACTTCCGATACGATATCTTACCCCCTTTCCCAAAATAGCTAGAATCCCACATTGAACTGGTGAAAAAATGATCCCCTTTAGGAAGTGCCTAAAGGAAGACCATGAGGTGTAGAATAAAAAAAGATAATATCACACTACAGCGGGAGACTGCACCGCATCTGTTCCAAGTATACTCTGTTCTTTTAGGACTGTGTTGCAAATATAAAAGGAGAAAAAACATGAAGGAATCCCATAATGTGTATTACCTATTAATAGGCCCTGGGTGTCGAGTGCTAGGACACAACAGACCATAGTGGTAGTTCGATCTCGTCCAACATCTAGCAGCATCTAGAATCGTACATCAGTTCCGTGGTAGGCAAAGGATCACCTAACTCTTCACTTCGAAATGGGAATTAGTAGGGAAGACGAGCTTCCATACCAAAATCTGTCTCCACTTGCATGCATTTCTAACCCAACCAATACCTGATCCACCACGAACCAACATCCAGCAGATGGTAAGAAGGTGGAAATCTCTAGTGGGATGACATCTCCAGTCCAAGACCTAGTGGTATTGGGTATGTTTCTTCCAGTCTGCAGGATGAGGATATTAAACTGTACACAAGAGGGAATATATTTACTACATCCAGCTTCAACCAACACCAGACACACTGAGAATCGACATTCAGCAGATTGTAGGAAGTGGGACCACAAATCTGGGTCACATCTCCTGCTCAAAACCTGGAGGCATTGGGTATTTTCATCCAGTACACATGTGAGGATTTACTTAGCTGGACCATCTTCAAAAAACATCCAACCCCAGGGAACTGCATCAGGAGGATGGTAGGTAGGAGGAACGTTTCAGCCTGAGGGGCAAATTGCAATATATATATATATATATATATATATATATTAATATGGCATAGTGCTACAACCAAAATATAGAAGTATCTGGTATTGTACACCAGGTCTGCAGTAGCAAGCGCCATACACCATCGGCATCCTCAGAAAGCAACCACAATATCTCAACTGAGTCATCACTTTGGAGGACAGGCCTCCATGGTCCACCACCCCAGTGGCAAAAACAGTCTGGAAACCGCATATCCAAAGACAGTGCAATAGGTGGCTGTAAAACCCTATTTTGAAATGCAGAGCTACCATGTCGACAGAGTTGATCATCCAACACCTGGTAGCATCAGATACGTGGTAGGAAGAGTCGTAATGCCACAGAGCATCCAGAAACCACAGCCAAGGGAACGGGCTTGGAAAAATCAGCGGGAAAAGAGTCGTAATGCCACAGAGCATCCAGAAACCACAGCCAAGGGAACGGGCTTGGAAAAATCAGCGGGAAAAAGAGTCGTAATGCCACAGGGCATCCAGAAAACACAGCCAAGGGAACGGGCTTGGAAAAATCAGCGGGAAAAGTTTTTTCTACAACAAGACAGCTGTAAGGTTTTCTACCAATATGTTTTGTTTCATGTCATTTTACTCTATTGTTTGATCCTTGTTGTTTTCTAGAAACTATATAACTGTAAAGATTTGTCCTGGTGTGTGTGTTCTTTGATGAGTGTACAGTCTGGAATGAACATACTTATGAAGCAAAAGACCACTAAAGAGAACCACTAGAGATGACAATTGAACAGACACATGACTAATAGACAACATCAGTCTAACATGAGAAAATTGAGGTGGCGACAAATTCACCAATGCATTAGGGTTTGAACAACACAATGGAATAGGATTCCAAATGTTGGGAATCAAGATAAGGGAAAGAAAAATCTTTGAAATGCATAAGCATGATCTTCAGATGTATGAGGCATACTACCTCCTGACCAGAGTTAATACCCAAAATAGTGGGTATGAACCCCAACATCAGGTGAGGGAAAACTGAAGATTGGCCCCTAGAATCTTCACCAAGAAGGGTAGTTTGAGAAACGTAGGAAACAGGAGATAAAGGGGGGGGGATTGGCTGTCCAAACTCTCATCCTTTCTGTCAGGATCAGGTACGACAGGATATTCCTTTTGTGTCGGTGAAGGCTGCATGAACAGGGACATTTTTCATTGAACACTTGCCATAATTTCCTCAGTTGATAACTGAGTACTTAACCTGGTAGTAATGGATGTTAAACCTGCAGCAGCATTAACACCCGTGGAAGTCCTAACTATTTGAAAATGTATGTGCATACTGACAGTTTCATTCATGAAGCAAAAAAAGAATAAATAAGAAAAATTAGAAGAAACAACCTAGCACAGTTTAAAATATGAAAAATTAAAGAAAAACGTTGACAAATTTGCAAGCAAAAACAAGCATGTCTGTACAGTACTACCGCCAAATGAGAAGTGATGAATGAGTGCAAAGATGGAGAGTGCATTGGTTACGATAAGGGTTGTATCACGTTCCTATTGGTGGAGAGCTGCTGCATAATCATTTACATGTGGATATGTATAAGCAGGAGGTGGAAGACCGGTGGCAAGCATTGAAAATTTGCACCGATAGAGGGCAGTACTAGTCAAGAAAAGCTAAGATATTGTATCAGAATTTGTTGGTGATACAGGTAGTGTATGATTTCATTGTCATAGTCACATTTCGTTTTACATGCATTGCCATAAATTATTTTGATTTTTTTTTTCACTTGCTTCTGCAGAATAACGATCCATCTGCATTATACCCACACCTTAAAATAAGCTTAAGCAGTTTGGAAAATGTTACTAAACCCTTGATGAAGAATTACAGACAGAACTTGTTCATACTAACTTATGTTAAAACGTAGATTACACTGAAACTTACCTTTCAATCTTAGCCTCGAATATCTCCGAAACCATGGCATACAAGACACCACCACATATGAATCTTATAGGCACTCTCACACTTAGGATAAGTTTCATAGTTCCTTCAAACTATGCTCCTCCTTTTGCTTCGTGTTCGAAAGGAAAAAAATTATTCATGTCCCAGAGCAACTGCTTTTAAGGTTAATAATGTTTTGGTGCAACACCATCAGAAGGTGTTTCATTAAGATGGAGGTTTTCAGGTCAGTTTTGTTGCAACATTTGAAAAGCAAGTAAAATGATCTTAAAGGTTTCTACAGAGATAGCAGAGAAATATTGATATAATATTTTAATAGAGATGATATGTTTTGCTATTCTACTATGAAAGGACAAAGTTATTAAGTACGTATTTTTTTTATAGATAATCAGAATGAGAAATCTACATTGAATGTTAAATCCTATACTTCTCATTTTGGTTCCATTGATAAGTTGGATGACTACAATGTCCAAGAAGTGTTAGATCATATTTCAATCTTAAAATTATGAATTTACAATAACTTCTTCTGTTTTTGTTTATTTTTACTTTTGGTGCAAAATTGAAAACTTTGTTTAGTATTTAGCATTTCCAGTATTGGAAAGTCTAAACTTTATACTGTATATGAAATTATATCCAAAAATTCTTTAACAATCATTTACTTGAGCTGTTTCAGGTGTTAGACCAGGTGATACCTTCTCATCTACTTTTAACTTACAAATATGTTCACAAGCAGTGTGATCTCTCTCATTTTCTTAAGATCCCAATTTAATCCAAATGTTTTTCTACAACAAGACAGCTGTAAGGTTTTCTACCCATATGTTTTGTTTCATGTCATTTTACTCTATTGTTTGATCCTTGTTGTTTTCTAGAAACTATATAACTGTAAAGGTTTGTCCTGGTGTGTGTGTTCTTTGATGTATTTGTAATTCTAAAAAAGGATATTGAATTGTTAGAAAAGGATTAGAGAATGCAAGGTTTCTCACCAGTGTGTATTCACTGATGTATCTGTAATTGACCATTTGTTCCTAACTGTTTTACACACACACACACTGTTCAACTTTAATGTTTGACCCAAGTTTGTACTCTTTTGTCTTTTTAATTCACCATTTGTTAAAAATGGTTTTCCACCCACTGTACAACTGTAAAGTTTCTCCCTAGTGTGTATTCTTTAATGTACTTTTAAGACACTATCTTTGCCAAAGTGTTTTCTACAAACCATACAACTGTAAGGTCTTAGGTCCTCTGAGTAGTATGGAACATCACTTAAATTACTTATTGAGGATAGGTCAAGGCCTATAAACTTGTCTTTGCATAAAAAAAATAATTACAGGTCTGATTTAGGTTTACAAGATTGTTAACCCCTTACCTACTGGGGCTATTTTGTCTTATCGTGAGGGCAAAATCACATTTGTGAATTGAAAACATTATAGAGAACTTATATTTTATTGAATTTCAGATTTTATTTTTGTAAATAGTACCATAACATTCAATTACTTGTACAAAATTATATTATTTAATGAAGTTTAAAGTGAAATTTAATAAAAAAAATCCCAAAATATGCTTGAGACTATAAATAAGTGCCCATAAGAGATTTTTCAACATTTAAAAAAAAATTTTCCTTGCACTTTACAACTAGTCCTGCCATCTATGATTGGTATCAACCTTTTTCTAGTCTGATTTCTTTATAAAAAAGCTTCTGGGCATGTTAAACCTCAGTTGTGAAGGTTTTAGCCAAGCCTAGTCGAAAGTGTTAATTTCAGTACCATGTTATTCCAATCTCTGTATTTAACAGTTACCAAATCATAGGATGATAAGCAAAGCATGTGATGAAATGTTGTTCTCTAGTTTTTACAATATGAATGTGGGTGGTGCTTATTATAGCAACTGCCATTTTATGTAGAGGTTGTATTTAGTATTGGTCAATAGTACTTTATTTATATGCCTTAGAAAATTTGCTTCTGGAAAAAACTACATGGGACGTATGTGACTTAATACCTTAAGTCATGCTGTATCGTATATCTATTTATATTAATCATTATATTGAAAAATTAACTCAAAAGAGAAAATTTTTTAGGAAAGAAGTTGATCCACAAATGTTAGGGTTAAGAGCTATCGAGTGGTGAGTGCAAGGTCTTTACGTGAATTAGGCTTATCATTTGAACTAAAAGTTTGTGATTTTTTATATTCTTTTGCATCTAAATTAATAGTTTTAAGTTCAATAATTGAATGTAATTTTATATTTAGTTCATAATAAAAATATGATTCAGTATTTAGAATGATAAACTTGTGTGATTTGTACGTAACTACTACTACTAGTAGTACCAGTACCACATAAGAATTTTATATTTTTCCTTCTTACTATCTTTACTTTGTAGTAAGACCAACACTTCTGTTGTTGTTCCTTTAGAATTAAAACAGTCTAAATGATCTATATAAAGTTTATTCTGATGTTTTGCAAATGGTTTAAAACTCAGTGTACAAGTGACAACAATAAAACCCAGGGGAAGCTATGACATTCTCACAGTTGGGGTGTCAATACACTGAAG